CGCGCCGCAGCCGCCCGCCGGCCGCTGCCGCCGCCATGGCCCGCGCTGGGCGCCGCCACTACCGCGCCAAGTAATCCCTGCCCGCGAGGCCGGCGGAGGCGGACGGCGCCGGGCGCGCGAGGGACGGAGAACGCGCGCGCAGCGCAAACGGCCGCGGAGGGATCCCGCAGTGAGGCGCCCCAGCCGGCACCGCCGCGCCGCGGGGGGAGAGGAAGGAGACACGCAGCGGCCTGACCCCGCGGCAGGCCCCGCCCATGGGCCGCGCCCATTGGCCGAGCCGCCTGCGCGCGGCTCCGCTATTGGTGCGGCGCGCGTGCGCTGGCCGGGCTTTGAGCGCCTCGTGGCTCCGCCCCCCGGAGCTGATTGGCGGGCGGGAGCTTTAAATAGGGGAGGGGCGGGAGGCGCCGCCTTTTGTGTGTGGCGGTTGCGCCTGAGGCGGCGGGCAGGCTSCGAGCCCCGAGGGGGCGGCGGTGGCAGCGGGGCCCGGGAGGCGACATCGCCCGCAGCCGGGACCCCTGAGCCCGGCCTGCGCCCCCGGGCTGCCCCGGAGGGGAGCTGCGGAGCTGGCAGCTCTGCCCTGGGCATGCAGTGCAGCTCATGGGCAGCAGCGGCCCTGGAGGGGTCTGTAATGCTGCCCAAGATGTCCACCAAAGCCGTAATTGTGACAATTTACCACCACCATGGCCTTCATTTTGACAAGTTAACGAACTCCACGGGTATCTGACAGGACTTTCTGTCCTTTGTCCTGGTCAGGCATGACAAAGAAGTCATGCCTGACTTCTTTGGTCCCTTCACRATAGACAATGTTCACACTGTCCCCTAATACTAAGCAAGCTGTCTATACTCCTCATTTATCCCAATAACCTGTGGTCCTTGGGGCCTTTTTCTGCATTGCCTGCCCCTCCAGAGGCTCCCTAGGTCCAACTTGGAGCCTGAAGAGCTAAAAGAGTGGGATTGACCTGCAGCACCTCATTTTTCTGCCAGTTGTATTAAAATAAAGTACAGAGCCAGCWTCCAAATAGAGCCTTTGGCCTGCGCTTTATTCCCACCAAACCAGGCGCTGCTCTGTCATCAAAGCCAGCTTGGCATTTCACTTCCATTACTGTCCAAATGCAGCGTGGAAACACCAGACAGACCTCTTAAAACAACATATCCCCCCAGTTATTCCCACAGCTTTATTCTAAATTKGCATTCAGGCTCCCAGGGGTTATGTTCAGTGTGGGCTGCGCATTTTGCAGTGCCTTCCGTGGCTGGATTTGCCTGCAGGATGCATGGATKGGGTCCAGCAACCACCAGGCAGATGCACGAGCTCTTTTCCTCCCTTTTTCCTGCGGCTGTTGTGGCCCAGCAGCCGGGTTCATATCAGATAAACGACGTGGGCTGAGATCTTGCAAGGGGAGCAAGGTTTTATTCRTAACCCCAGGCAGGAGGAGGATGCCTCCTTGTTTTTGATAGACTTTAATCATCTCAGAGAAGGAGCTTTGTCCTAATTTTGTTCAAAAAGCAAGGGAGTGCAATATCGCTGCAGAACAGATTAGCAAAAGGGGTAATTTTTGTGTTTTCATAAGCGCAATTTTGTCTTGAGTTCATAATCCAGGAACACTTAGGGGTGCACGTGATGCGCACGTGTGGGCTGCTCGCTTGTGTTTCTGTGAGAACTCTGTAAGAGAAAGCTTTATTCCTTTGGGTGATGGTTATTGGAAATCTCATCATACACCTTGCTGAGATAGATGGCTGCAACACAGAAATTCCAAATAATGATGTTTCGTCCCTTTTTATTATTATTTCCCTTCAGAATAGCATAGTCTATCAACTGTGTGTATTGAAGTCACGCTGAAACGCGAGAGAAAGCCACTCAAGGCGCTTAGAGGGACTGCATAATGTCACATATTGTAAAGACAATATGTGTCTTTACCCAGCTCCGCTTCTGTAAGGACGCTCTGTTAGGGCTTCATCACTGCAGCCTCCTCTGAGAGGCTCCTTGAAAACCCGCCGCTTCCCTCTGTGTGCTTCCAGCTCCATCAGGCGCTTCCCTTTCCAGCTGTGCCAAGGAAGGGATCCGCGGAAAACAAAGCAAGTCCCTTAGGAAAGGTCTGCACTGAGCCCAAGCACAAGCCAGACCCCGGGTGTAAGGAAGCCGAGTCCTCTTGGTTGGTATTGACTTTATCCCAGCAATAACCCGCCCTCGAAGCACCGCTCTGCGCTCGCACTCAAGTACCTGATGATTTCCTGGGCTGGCAAGTTGATCTTAATCCTTTTTCACTTGGGAAGTCAGCCTAAGCTTGTGCCTCGGCMCAAGTTTGTGCATTTTGCTGTTAGGAGTGAGCCTGTGATTTACATCTAGAGCAAAAGTTGTCCCTTAGATGCCAGACAGCAAAACAGATTTTAATGTGAAGTGTATGGGACCTGGGAGCCTGCTCTGTGCTTAGAAGCGCCTCTGCATGAAGCCCTAGGAAACCAAAAAGAGCACGATACATAAATCCRTCCCAAGCCACCAAGAATTCCTGGCTAGCCAGTGAGCAAAGCAAGAAACCACCCCGAGGAAAATAAATCAGCTTCGTGAGAGCTCGTGTTACGACTTGCAGCTTGTCAGTGAAGGTCGTCCTGGGGAGCGACTGCTGCCTCGTCCAGCCCCGCTCCCGAAAAGAGCACAGCTCTCCAGGCACCAAACACGGTTCTTTGTGTTATTTTATCCCCGGATGATCCTATTTCCTGCATTTTCTGCCTTGATAGTCCTTGTGCCCTCATATGTGCATGTTTGGGACAAACAGCTGGGGAAGATTCCTTGCGGCAGCAGCYGGTAAACAACCACCAAGAATCCAGTTATTTCCCTCTTTCCATCATTTCAGCGGGAGCAGAAGCTGGTGACTCTGTGACTGTCCCGGAAGGCTGCAAGCAAGTGAAAACCATGTGCATCTAGCTTAGTTTTCACCCGCTAATGTAAGAACAGGASTGATTGGACTCGATTTTCCTGGATCCTGTGCTGCTGGGAGGCAGGGCAGGCTCCCCGTTCCCAGTGCGCTTCCTTGCGGAGGCTGGGACCGGAGCCCTTGGCTTTGGGAAGAAAATAAACAAACCTCAGCTTTGAAGCATGTTGAAAAATATCACGTGGGCTTTGCAAAAAAAAAAAAAAAAAAAAAAAAACGGGAAAACAACCCAAACCCCGGGCCTGCGACCTGCCTTGCAGTGTGCCTGGCAATGGAAAGAAAACGTGTTGGATTTGGGCAGGGATGAGGGGGGTGTCCTTGCCTGCACCCGCAGCAGGAATGGGGGTAACTGCTGGGCTCAGCTGGCGACAGTCGGCACAGTGTGTGTGTGTGTGCGTGCGGCTGTGCGTGCGGCTGTGCGTGCGGCTGTGCGTGTGCGCCTGTCACTGCCCTCTGCCGATGGACTCCGGCAGGCACACGCAGGGCCTAAACCGGGAGTTTTCTCCCCGTTTCCTCCTGCCGAAGGCATCACGGATGCTCTCGCCTCTCCCCCAGGGAAGGTGTCCCCTCGATGGCCACCCTGGCCTCACCATGCTCCTTTCCAGACCCAAAACGAGAGGCTGCTGTGGGAAGAACATCCCTATTTCCTCCAGCTCCTGCTGCCCTTGCTCATCCCTCTCCGCGTACCAGGAAAGCTCCAGGCAAGGAGGAAGCTGCTGCCTCGTGGCTCCTCCGTGTCCCAGCAAATTCTTCCCATTCCTGCATTGAGTTTTTCAATCAATGCAATTCAATCAATGCAATTCAATCAATGCAATTCAATCAAGGACAGAGGGGCACCCTGTGCCCACGCACCAGCCGGCAGCTCCCCAGCCGACCCGCAGTCTGATTCCCGCTCCTTATTGCACAACCTTAGCTTAACTCTTAGCCAAACCGCTCTGCAGCTGCAAGAAGAAGCCTGGAAGGGTTTCCTTGCGTATTTATCCGTGTGATGTTCCTCGGGCTGTTTTCCTATGGGAGCCCTCCTGGCCCTGCCTGTGGGTGCTGTGCCACGAAGGGCCCCTTTCACATCCCAGGCGTGAGAAAGGAGCGGGCACCAACATTTACCAAAAATGAATGGAAAATTCAGGGTCTCTTTGCAACATTTGAAATTCACTCCACACTTGTTAAATAAATCATCTGTGCGGGCCACAAAAATAATGTCACCTGCCCTACCTGCGAGCTCCGCGCTTCCCAACGCCTCCGTGCAAACATGGAACGTTTGCACGTTGGGATGCGCCCGGAGCTGCATGCGGGGGATTATTTCCCGGAGGAAGCCACAAATAACAGCTGAATGACAACCAGGATGAGGAAATTGGGATTGGTTGTCACGGGCTATTCATGAATAGAGAAAGAGATGAAATTAGCTGAATGAACTGTTCATTAGGCATTATTCAGCCAGCTGTACTAATTAGTGCCTTAAGGACTGTTCCTGTTCCCGCTGCAGCCAACTCCCAAACTCCTTTTGATTTCAGTGGGAGCAGGATGGAGCCCTCCAAGAGCGAGCCCGGAGCCTGTTTCCTTTGCAATGCCTTGATTTTTTGCCTTTACTCCTGCTTATTGATTCCCCTTTTTTTTTCTGCGTTTTCCATTAAAACGGCTACTTCTGCAATGTCCTGCGGGACAATGGGTTCACTGCAGGAAAAGGGAAATACCACCAATCCCAGAGCGGGCGTTTTACACCCAAAATGTGTAAAAGGAGAACGTTTTCTGTGCATCTTCTGGCTCAGATGGAAAACACGAGACCAGAGGTGTCCCCGGAGCAGCGGGTGCCCGGGTGGTGACACCGCGAGGTCCTTTGGCCCCGCAGCATCGCGCTGGTGCCGCTGGCTCCG